CTCTCTCTCTCTCTCTCTCTCTCTCTCTCTCTCTCTCTCTCTCTCTCTCTCTCTCTCTCTCTCTCTCTCACACACACACATATTAAAAAATGCAGTCCAGCGCATAAGTTTGTCAAACTAGCTTCTAGAAATCCAGAAGCCTCGTGACCAGTCCGGCATATTTTGGTGTTGGATTGTAGCAAAAAAAAAAACGGTCTTGCACAAAAGTGTGTCAGACCGACTTTTGGCTTCTGGAATTCCATAAGCCTTGTAGCCGGTCTGTCCCATTTTTGTGTTTAACTGTAATTTTTTGCTTCGGTCGGACACAAAAGTATGTCGTACGAGCTTCTAGCTTCTAGAATTCCAGAAACCTCATGACCGGTCAGTCACACTTTTGTGCTAAACCATACTTTTTCAACGCGACAGAGAGAGAGAGACTGATATGGGGTGGAGAGAGAGATTGATAGAGATAGAGAGGTTGATATTGGGCGGATAGATAAATTGATAGAGAGAGACTGATAGAGGGAGATTTCAAGCAGAGAGACAAAGAGAGATTGGGCAGAGAGAAAGAGAAAGAATGGGCTAAGCGTGTGAGAGAAGGAGATATTTATACGTAGAGAAAGAGATTAGGGGGAGAGAGAAATAGATATTTCTAGCAAAAAGAAAGAGAGAGAGAGAGAGAGAGAGATTGGGCGGAGAGAGAGCGGGGGAGAAAGAGAGATTTTGGGCAGGTATAGGGAGAGTCGGTTTTATCTGGCATATGGCTATTAAAAAGGGTATTTTAGTCTTCAAATATTTGACTTTTTAACTTGGGGGTGCGGGGTTGTAAAAGCAAGAAAAAATAATAATTGGGTTAAAGGTGAGATATGAAAAGTATTGGGGGTAGAATGTCTACAACGTAGATTCTAGTGAGATATTCATAATTTTTCCTAAAAAAATAATAGTGGTTTATTTTACAGGAAGACTAAACATTTATTATAATTCTACAAATTCTTTTAATTTTGAGATGTTGCTTATAATTGATTGAAAAAATTTACGACCAAACATTAGGTAGTTCAATTTATGTTTTTTCTTCTGAATGTTTCAAATTGGGGTTTTATGTTCCAAACTATTGGAAACCATTATTTCAACTTGAAGGAGGTAGTGTGGATTCTTATTTTGTAGATAATATATGAATAATATCCAATATACAACTAAGCCCAATCGAACAAAACGTCATCCCTTTTAATTTGCATCTAAATAAGAAATCATCGATATTCTATTGTGACATATTTAATTTTTGGAACTTTTAGCTCCATGAGTCAAAAGTTTTGTCTTTTTGTAGCACGTTTGCGTTTGATAACAGGAAGTGCTATAGTGAGAGGCATGTCTGAAACTTCCAATTTCCATAAAAATTTCCTCAGTATTGATAGAAATTTTAATTAATTAATTTTGATTTTTTACAATAATACTAATTTTATAGATCAAATAACTATTACGATGCCATTGCATAGGCGTAACAATAATCAAATCATCAACAATGGATCACTCCGTCATAGAAACTTCCCTCTTAGCAAGCATGTCAGCCATATCATTAGCTTCCCGACAGACGTATGTAAAAAGACTGTCCAAATAGCCATGCATATCCATTATCTCAAGTAGTCAGATTTGATATTATTAGGTACCTTTTTGCACTAGCTAATGACATTGAGTGAGTGCCCCTCCACTACCAAATTTCCTCTAGACTACTTTTTCATAAAGATATTGTCTGATTTGCCAAAGTACATGGTCTAGAATAACATAAAATGACATTCCCATTTGAATCCCTTAGTACCCCACCAACTTCTATATGTATTGCATTCATTACATGTGGTTAGGGTCTCTCCTTGTGTGCACATGAACATTAGCACCCAGTTGTTTCAAAACGGCTCAGATGCTCAACAAGTAATTATCTCATTTTACCAAACAATGAATTGTGGACACATTATAGGGGAATGTCAAAAGAGTATATTGTTAACATATGGATATGTATATGTATCATACTAACACATATCAGTATGGAGATGCGTATATATGATACATATCAGTATGGAGATGTATATATATAGATACATATTTCTTGATAATATTAGGTGTTGTCTATACATAACCCTTGGTATTTATCTTTAACTGTTACTGAAACATATGGATATAGATATGTATCATACTAATACATATCAGTATGGATATGCATATGTATGGATACCTATCTCTTGATAAAATTATGTTATGTCTATCCATAACCATTGGTATTTCTCGTTAATTGTTATTGGTCGTATATTGATACGGGGTCTTGTATATTCTTTATTAATCAATGATGAGAGAGTTCTTTACTATATTATGAAATAAACTTCCATGAGGGCCTAAGGCCCAAATATATAGAAATACATTTTCTAATATGGTATCAAAGCAAGGTTCACGATTTGGTATTTCGTTTCTCAAGCCTCGAGCCTGTGTTTCCAGTTTCCCTGATCGGTGAAGCCTTCAATTTGATTGCGACTCTATATCTAATAGCTATCGCACCCTCTCTGATATTGTCGAGTCTTGTTTTATATTCGTTCCGAAAATTTCAGTACCCTTCACAATTTCATGGACGTGTCTTTGGAAAATCTACCCCCTTATTCCAAAGCATCTTCCTCTAGTTGGGGGCCTTTGTGGCTTATGTCATGGCTGCTTCTGCAACTGCTTTCACAACTTCTGGTGAAAGTAAGATCTGGGTATCTATATCCAAGCAAGATCTGGGTATCTGCATCAATTTTTCATAGAAATCCGCCTCTAAATCCACCTCTGAAAACAACTGATCTGCAACATCTGCAAAAACAGTCATCGAGTCGTGGTTCGACTCTTTGATATGCCTCTCTGCCACTTCTCTGTCTATTTTTTTCTACGGATCTTGATCTTTGGTCCTGATCCATCTGAAAGCTCGCCAACCTCACCAACTAGCCTCGCTAGCCACCTTGATCTAATCTTATATGGTGATCGAGCTTTCTATTACTCAATCTTATTTGATGATCGAGTTTTCTGTTATTCGATCCCATCTGATGATCGAGTTTTTCGTCACTCGATCCCGTCTGATGATCGAGTTTTTCGTTACTCGATCCCGTCTGATGATGGAGCTTTCCGTTACTCGATCATATTTAATGATCGTATTTTTCGTTATTCGATCCTGTCTGTTGATCGAGTTTTTCGTTACTCGGTCCCGGATGTTCCAAATGCCTGTTTGTTTGCTGTTGATCGAGTTTTTCGTTACTCGATCCCGGATGCTCCTGAGCCCATATGTTCTTGAGGTCTACCGATTTTCTATGCTTGTTGTTCAAGCAATATGTGCATGGAGACTATTGCTTCTATCAAACACGCCATGAACCCGAAGATCTGAAGATCCAACTCATTCGTTTATGCAGCTCATTGTTCAAACTCTAGATGCTTTGTGTCAAAGCGAGTTTGAGATAGGATTTTAACATATGAATATGGATATGTATCAGTATGGATATATATCTATATGGATACATATTTCTTGGTAAGATTAGGTGATGTCTATCCATAACCGCTGATATTAATATTTAATTGTTACTGGAACGTATGGATATGGATATGCAGCATACTGATACATATCAGTATG